CCTTGGGTAAATTCCTAGCAGTGCTATTGCTGGGTCATAGGGTAGATCTATTTTTAATTTTTTGAGGAACCTCCACACTGTTTTCCAGAGCGGCTGCACCAATTTGCATTCCCACCAACAGTGCAAGAGGGTTCCCGTTTCTCCACATCCTCTCCAGCATCTATAGTCTCCTGATTTGTTCATTTTAGCCACTCTACCGGTGTGGGGTGGTATCTCAGTGTGGTTTTGATTGGTATTTCCCTGATGAGGAGCGACGTTCAGCATCTTTTCATGTGGGCAATGCCTATATTTCATTGAATGGTTGTACTGTACACTGCTTAGCCACCCTCTCAGGTAGCTGGGATCAGAGCTTCTATTCACAACAGGATTCCAATGTGTCAATGAAGCCAATGGAACAGGCTCTCCAGGGGTCTACTTGCACGAGGGTTTTAAGGAGCTACAAAAAGGAAAGGGGGGAAACCTCCTAAAATGAGTAAAAACCTCATTAAAAGAGAAATGTGTCAATGGGAAAAAGGCATTTCCCTTATTTGGGAGTGGATTTTGTCCTACAGTATGACAAATGTCTGGCAGTGGCATCGCTTACTTATAAACTAAAATACTCTAATCCTTAAGATAAATATAAACAAATACAAAAACAACTGCAGATTTAAAAACTAACCAAATTGGGGCACCTGGGTGCCTCAGTTGGTTAAGCGTCTGACATCGGCTCAGGTCATGACCTCGAGGTTCATGGGTTCAAGCCCCGCTCGGGCTCTGTGCTGACAGCTCAGAGCCTGGAACCTACTTCGGATTCTGTGTCTCCCCCTCTCTCTGCCACTCCCCAGCTCATGCTCTGTGTCTTTCTGTCTCTCAATAATAAATAAATGTTTAAAAAAATTTTTAAACCTGACCAAATTAAGTGAACTTCTCAGGTTTCCTAACTCGCTCTTAAAAGGTCAGAATCAAGCAGTATCTCATGCAGGATCACTTCAGAAAAATGACTAAACTAAAATAACAATGTCGCAAAATGTAAAAGAAACTAGAATAATCTCTCAATATACAAACAAGATCATACAATTAGATTTATTTATGAGGCAGTCCTATAGCACTGACTCTAAGGATGGCATAACTCCAAAACTCTGAGATATACTATGTATCAAAGGGGGAGAAAAATACCATGAGGCTATAGTTATGTCATGTATCAGTGCTTGTGCATATTCCAAGAAAAAGCTTTCAATTACTTAGAGCTTGCATATTTGGGGAAATTTTCTAATAAACCAGGATTTTTAACAAAAAGCAGATATAAAGTCAACTTTGGTAAGATAAAATTCAAAATTCTTTTTGAAAACTATTTTGAACCCGGCAACTTGTTTTGTATATGTTTTAATTATAAGAGTTTTATTTTTTACTTAAAGTTGGAAAATCAGACTATCTTTAAATTTAGAAGACTGCATTCTCCGATACAGCAAAAACACAAAGATATCAAATTCAAATAATTTGCTGGCACCCAAAAACAAAATGAGTATGGACTTAAGCTCTTTCTACATAGTTCGTTTTATAGTGATTCACCATGAGTAAGCTTTAAAACTCAACGTCTTTAGAATGCTAGTCTTAAAAAAAAAAAAAAAAAAATTCTAGGGTCTGCATCATAACTACTACCTTAAAAGAGAAAATCAGAAAAGGTATCACACACCCAATTTCCTTTGTTATTTTTTCACAATGATACAAAGTTACCTTTGTCAGCCTCAGTTTTGTTTTTTTTTTTTTTTAAGTTTACTGTAAGTGTCAGCCCTTTGGAATTTATACTGCATTTCCTCATTGACACATTACAAATGATCCTACCAAAGGCTGTCTAGCTTTTAGTGTTACTAATGTGTGGGTGGTACTTACTGAGTCCTCAAATTCTTCATTAGCAGAAAATGTTTCAGTGCATGTTTTAAACATCCTGTATTGCAAAAATTTAGTCAGCTGATTTTGGAAGAACATTCCCCTAGGGAAACATGAGTTGACTCACTGCACACTATTACAAAGGCCTCTCAAATGGTCTCTCACAGCCCGTCTCTCCCTCCTATATTCTGTCCTCTACTGCCTTTGCCAGTTATCTTAATCGCAAATCTAGTTATATCACACCCATATTTGAAACCCTTCTTGCCCAAAGAATTTCTTGGTAAAATCCAAACCTCTTAGCATGAATAGAAGGCGCTCTCCAACTGGTACTAACTTATCTTAGTTTCTTCCTAGCGTCCCTTTCATGTAGACTGCCTGCAGACATTCTCATCATTCCCTAACAAGTCATGTTCTTTCATCCTTCCATATTCTTGTAAAAAGTTTTTTCCCCTTAGAATGAACTCATATCCTTTTCCTTGAACATTCCCTAATGTACATGAGTTCAAATACCACTTACACTATAAAACCTCCCCCGAGATTTTATATATCGCCCAGAAAGTCTTAGCACATTTACTCACCTTTGCCCCTCCATAAGCATTAAGCATGTTGCTCATAGGAGCTCGATAAATGTTGACTAAATTTTGAAAGTATACCCATGCTTAAATGAAGGGACTGGCCATAAATTGTTAAAGCCACAGTTAAAAGCCATAAGGGTTTTCCATTCATCTATATGCAGGTATGCAATAATACCTACATTAATATTGGAGCATCTGGGTGGCTAAGTTTGTTAAGTATCCAACTCTTGGGGCGCCTGGGTGGCGCAGTCGGTTAAGCGTCCGACTTCAGCCAGGTCACGATCTCGCGGTCCGTGAGTTCCAGCCCCGCGTCGGGCTCTGGGCTGATGGCTCAGAGCCTGGAGCCTGCTTCTGATTCTGTGCCTCCCTCTCTCTCTGCCCCTCCCCCATTCATGCTGTCTCTCTCTGTCTTAAAAATAAATAAACGTTGAAAAAAAAATTAAAAAAAAAAAAAAGTATCCAACTCTTGATTTCGGTTCAGGTCATGATCTCACCGTTCATGGGATCAAGCACCACGCTGGGCTCCAGGCTGACAGCTGATAGAGCCTGCTTGGGATTCCCTCTCCCTCTCCCTCTGCCCCTCCTCTGCTCACATGGGTGCGCATGTGCTCATGCTCTCGCCCATGCTCTCTCTCTCAAAATAAATAAATAAACATATACTATATATAAATAAACATATACTATATATAGTCCTATTTATATTTGCAAATACTGAAAATCATGGATTACTAAAACTCCAGATGGGTAATATACTACACCTTACCTACTGATAAGTGTTAACCATCTAAGAAAAGCACAGCAGAAACAGTCTTAACCAAAAAAGATACGGTGTCTTCCCATTCAATAAAGTTTTAGTATTTAGAGCTTCAAAATTCCAACAATGGGGCAAATTTACTTAATTGGGGAAAAAAAAGTAAGAAAAAAATTTAATTTCCTGAAGGTCAGCAGTCCTACATTGAAATCTTCTATCATCACCTTTGCACAACTCTCAAGGCAACGATTCAGTAAAAACCCTCATTCTCCATACTTTAGGGCTAATAAAGGAAATACAGCCGTGCAAACAATAATTTAACGCAAGAGCCAAAATAAACAAACAAGTTGTTTCCAGAAACAAGCTAGAGTGTTAGCAATTTGTTTCCACTATGTCTGGGCATCTCCAGTATAAATACCTTACATATTCACGGGAAGTTTCACAATTCAAAGCCGATCTCACATAAATGATTTAATTCTTACGGTAATCCCGTGAGTTAAACAGAGCAGGGATTATTTTTACGGATTTAAGACACTATGAACCCAGTAAAACCACAGATAAAAGACTGTTTGGCTATACAAACACAGCACCTCGCTTCCAAAAAGAAGTACTCTTTGCTACAGCAACAAAATGGCCCAAGACAAATGGGCGACCCCCCTTTATTCCATCACTAAATTTAGCTCTGTGAACCTACAAGGGACTCCGCTATTAAAAAGAACGTCAAAATTTCAAATTATGATAACCTAGAGCAAAAGTTCCATCTCCCAGTCTATTTCCGAGTGACATTAACTCTACAAGCAAAACGAAGCTCCATTTCTCAAAGCAGTTCAAACAAGAACACACCCTCGGCGCGCACTCAGACTCCAAAGCTTTCAGCCGACTCCCTGAGGTCAGAGTAGGTCCCAGAGAAGTCCCAAGAGAGTCTGGGGGACCCAGTTATGACGAGATGGGGGTGGGGCGCAATGCAAAAAGCTCCGCCGACCAGGAGACGGAGGAAGAGGAACCAGGCAGAATACTGACAAGAAGGGTCTGGGGCTCCAGACCCCGAGCTTCGGGTCTGAGCACTGTCCACACACAAGCTGGAGTGGCTCCGCCTCCCGACCCCAGGTCCAGTCCCCAGCCAGGCCCCTCTGCTCCCAGACACCACAGGGTAACTCCGAGCGTCCCAGCCCTAGAAACAGAAATCTCAGAGGTCCCTGGGGGGAGGCGGACACCCACCTGGCCGAGCCCCACCGAGGACTGGGCCCACCAAGCCAAACAACAGCAGCCACCGGAAGCGGAGGACCCCAAAGGGCGAGTCCGCGCCCGATCCCATCGCGGCAGATTCCGCAGGTTCCACTCAACACTCGGTCGCTTCTGCCTCAGCGTGCTCCATCATTTCCCAACCCAGACGGGGCCCCAGAGCTGGCCGAGATGCGCGCGCCTGGAACGAGCACGCGCTCGGCACTGACGCAACTTGGCTCCTGTCCGAGCTCGCTCCCGGCATCGCGCTCGCTACGCTGACGTAAAGAAAAATCCAGTCGCCGGCGGGAGAAGGGGATTTCTGTCCCAGCCGCTAAAACCCTCACTAGCCTACCCCGCCCATTCACACTAACTGCCCCGCCCACTACCATTTATGCCCCTCCCCCTCCGCTTCCAGGCCCGCCTACTTTGGGCGTAGAAGGACCTAATTGGAGGAAGTACCCGGAGGTGGAGCGCAAGACCCAGAAGCGGAATTGAGGAAAAGCGAAGGGCAGCCCCGCCCGCTGCGCAGCCTTTTCTGATTGGTTTGCGGGCATTGGGCGGAGCACACCCATTGGCTGTTTGGTGGCGAGGAGTGGGGCTACGCGCGGAGAGGCCTGACCTGGCAGGACTACCTTGGGTCGGCTGTGCCGGCCTAGCTTTGCTGTTGAGGTCGGGTCTCTTCCACTGGGCCCAGGAAGATGGTGCTGGGTGGTTGCCCGGTGAGTTACTTACTTCTGTGCGGCCAGGCGGCTTTGCTGCTGGGGAATCTACTTCTGCTTCACTGTGTCTCTCGGAGCCACTCACACAACGCTACCGCCGAGCCCGAGCTCACATCCGCTGGCGCCGCCCACCCAGAGGGCTCCGCCGGCGCTCCGAGCTGGGAATATGGCGACCCCCAGTCTCCAGTCATCCTTTGCTCTTACCTGTAAGCTACCCAGTCGTCGAGGTGGAGATGGGGCCAGGAATATATGGGCGTTGGGGTTGGGGGGGAAGGGAGGCTGCTTTTTTTTTCAGACCCTCTTCACCTGAGGACCTGATAGTCAACACGCGGGAGGTAAATACCTTGACAGGTTTCTCACTCCTCTCACCCGTGCAGGGGAAAACCTTGTGTGTCAGTGGCAGATCCTTTGGGATCCCAAAAAAGGAAAACTAGGAAGGAGTGACCTCATATAGCCTCCGGAAGAAGGGTACGAGGTTGTGCCTTCTCTATCCTGCTCCCTTTAACTGAAGGAGAATCCGTCGTATGTGCTGGTACTGAGGCACAAATGGAGTAAATTACTTATCCTTGCCTACAAGGCACTTTCTTTTTTTAAAAAGCAATATCCTGTTGCAGAACCAAGTTTTTAACATCTCTTTTTAGTCCATAAGAAAAGGCGTTTGGGAAATGCAAAAGAGAACTGGGAATCCTTTGGCTTCAATTTTGCTCCCATAGCCTTGTGGCTCTTTGCCTAGGGAAGAGGAAGCCTTGGCAGAAGTAGAATCCATGTAGAAATCAACCAGAAACACTCCCTTTCCCCCAATTAAAGGATGGCTGTTTGACCTGCTGTTCTTCAGTCTGATTGACAGCAACTCTCGGGTACAGTCAGAATGAAATTAAACCCTAGAAAACTTGAAGCAATGTCTCTTGCTTGTTTTGTTTATATATACATAAACAGCCATTTGCAAAAACCATATGAGATGGTGATCATGATCTTACTGGTGATTTACAGACCTGATGAATTTATAGAATGTGACGACCCAGTGGATCATGTTGGAAATGCAACTGCATCCCAGGAACTCGGTTATGGTTGTCTCAAGGTGGGTTTTTATTTTGTTTTATAAGCAAACTCTTCCATAGAGAAATAGTACTAGGTAAATGCTGTTATAATAAAAGTATAGGGGTATGAAGTTACCTTTTTGTAGACTCTATTAGAATGACTTACTGGAAATTTCCATCATGGCCAGGGTCATTAACTGAACAAGACATTTCACTTCCTCAGGAAGAAGCAGTGTCTGTGCCAAAACTACCCAGGTGCACAGACTAACCTGTCTTTGATTCTTTGGGCCATTGAGATTGACTGATAGAAAGCTATTAGGTAACCTCATTATCTTTCAAGTGTGCACTTGGCTGAAAGAGCAAAAGAAAGGTTTATGCACTTTCTAAAACCAATAATGGATTGAGCTGTATCTTCATTGCACGTGCATTTGGGGCAGTGATCGTTCTTTTCACCAGGCAAGCAGTTGCCATCTACTTCCTGTTTTCTTAGGAAATAGATGGGGTCTATCAGTATATGCCTTTGTAGGAGGTTATAGTATTCAAAGAGAGGCCTTTGGTAACAGTGGCCTCTTGATGGAAAAAAGCCATTCATTTCCATTAATAACATCCTACTTAGTGTCCCCAAAACCAGTCAAGTTCATGTACCTTCCCCTCGTATTATGCAGCATAATGCAAGTCAAGATTCAATCAGGTATAAGAGAGTTATGGGAAAACATTGTTCATACTAAATCAGAGACAAAGGAATAAACCTGAAAGTAGCAAGACCAAAAAAGCAACTCTTACTGCAATCATGTGTAAAGAAGTATTTTCAATACAATGAGATCTTGTTCTATTGATAATTATCAATGAAGGTTTGAGTTAGCATCATATAGAGATCACTTACTTTTGCCCATTTGAATTAAAAACTGAGTTGATCCCGTGAAGGCACTCAAACTGCTACTTTCCCCAGAAGTCCTAGAGAACCAGTACTCAGGCACCTGAATCCCAGGAAAGGTATGATTTCCAAGTCCCTTCCCTTTGAGGATGCTCCAATGAAAATACTAGTGAAGTACTTAATAAGGTGCCAGGGGAGAATGTACAGCTGTGCTTTCTCTACTAGAGTTCAGTTACATAAATGGTAACAGGTCCTGTTCTGAAATTTTTTTGCTGTAATGTAAACTAATAAAAAAATGTACTGTAGATATTTGATAATCACACATTCATGACCTAAATAGAATTCTGAGTCAGCTGATATTCTGAGTTTTTTCCTAATTATGTTCATTTATAATATATAAAGCAGACTTCTAATACACATTGACTTTTTAAATACCCATTTCCAAACGCTCCAGAATATGTTCTTTTTCCTGTAAATATAGGATAATTAAAGCATTGTGTCCATCTGTTCTAAATGGCATTTAATGAAACTGATTGTAAAGGTTTTTACTATATTATTAAAGAAGCCAGTCACAAAGAAGAAAAAAAAAAGTTTACTTAAAACAATGCACAATTATGGTGGAATAGTTTAAAATCCCCTTGAATCACTAAATTCCTTGCTCTTGAACACAGCTTTACCCCAACTTTGTTAGTATAATTATTGTCCTGAGTCACCTTTTATTAATGAATATAAAGATATATTTTGTATTTACTTGCTTTGGTGAGTTTGGATTGTTTGTTTTGGTTGTTATGGCACAGTTTGGTGGTCAGGCCTACAGTGACGTGGAACACACTTCAGTCCAGTGCCGGGCCCTAGATGGGATCGAATGTGCCAGTCCTAGGACTTTCCTACGAGAGAATAAACCTTGTATAAAGTAAGTGTTACTTTGAATGGTTTGGTTGGTACTTAGAGGTACAGCTGTTTTTCTTGTCATCTCTTGATGTGACTTTTTCTTTTAAGTGTTAAATGGGGCACCTGGGTGGCTCAGTCAGTTAAGCGTCTGACATCCGACATCGGCTCAGGTCAGTGATCTCACAGTTTGTGAGTTCAAGCCCTGCATCAGACTCTGTGCTGACAGCTCAGAGCCTGGAGCCTGCTTTGGATTCTGTGTCTCCCTCTCTCTGCCCCTCCCCCACTCTCTCTGTCTCAAAAATAAATAAAACATTTTTTAAAAAGTGTTAATTAGGGGCGCCTGGGTGGCTCAGTTGGTTGAGCGCCCGACTTCGGCTCGGGTCATGATCTCACAGCCCATGAGTTTGAGCCCCCACATCAGGCTCTGTGCTGACAGCTTGGAGCCTGCTTTGGATTCTGTGTCTCCCTCTCTCTCTGCCCCTCCCCCACTCGCATTCTGTCTCTGTCTCTCTCAAAAATAAATAAATATTAAAAAAAATTTTTTTTTTAAAAAGTGTTAAAGGGGCAACATGATTACTACTGTGCATAATCCATGGACAGGGGCAATGTGGTTATAAACAGAGAGGACCCTGGACCAGAGGCCCGAAGTTTTAAATGTCTCTTTCATCAACTAGCTAAGTGCCTTTGGATGCCCAGAGACTAAATCCCTCCCTAACCTACAGAATAAAGGAGTTGGACTAGATGATCTGGTGCCAAAATTCTTATGATAGGTATAAATCCTGTGAAAATAGCCTTAGTATTTCAGGAGTAAAGGTTTTATTATGAAAAGTGTGGGTTTCTCTCCTTGAAATAAGTTTATCTTAAAGAATTAGGGTCATTTCTGTAAATTTTGCTTGAAGGCACAGAATGTACATCATTTGCTAATGAAGAGTCTGTGATGTTTAGTGATATTAGGGCAACTGCAATTGAGTGTCATTGCAGTATGTAAGACCCAAGTCCTTATTGAAGAAACCTCACTTTTAGTTGCCACAAAACAGCAGAAGGGTATACGGAGATCAGTGTTCACCTGATGAAACACGACAGCACTTCTTTCGAGAACTGTATCCAGAAATACAGCCTCAGGAGCCTGCCTGTGTCAGGGAAGGATGCGGGCCCAGACTCCCCTCTACCAGACTGTCTAACAGAGCAAATGTGCTTGACTGTTTCTTGTCTAATCCAAATCCGTATTTGTTCCTATAGGTCCCGGGTAGTGCTCTTTTACGACACTAGACCAACTAGAGATTTTCTTCAGGTGGGGGGGTGGGGGGGTATATCCGAGGCCACAGAGAAACTGCTACACTATCTCTTCACTTATGTTAAGTTCATTAATCATTAAATGTTTTAATTTTCATGTGGTAAACATCTTCCTTTTCATTCCTTCTGTCTAGATATACTGGACACTACTTCATAACCACTTTACTGTACTCTTTCTTCCTGGGATGTTTTGGAGTGGATCGTTTCTGTCTGGGACACACTGGCACAGCAGTAGGGAAGCTGTTGACACTTGGGGGACTTGGGATTTGGTGGTTTGTTGACCTTATTTTGCTTATTACTGGAGGGCTAATGCCAAGTGATGGCAGCAATTGGTGCACTGTTTACTAAAAAGAGCAACTGTCATGGCCCAGAGAGGCACGTCTTCTGAATTCATCTCTACAGGCTCAAAACTCTTCCTTGATGCCAGACCTGACCATTACTTTCCCTCTTTGGAGGGAATGGGTTTGGTTAGGAAGGTTTCTCTGGACTCCGGGTTTTCAACCCAAATTTTACCTTGCAGACTAGAAATGACAAACCAACAGTGTTTGGGAATCAAGTGTGTACCTTTCCTCATGTACAAAATATAAAGGATAGTGACTAACTTATAAGCTGCAGAGGGGTTTGCGTGCTCTTTATTTCTGTACATTGCTGTATCTTTAATACTTTGGAGCAAGTGGACCCAACAAGATGAGCAAGTGAACCTTGTGCCTTTTGTGACCCTAAATCTTCATGCAGAAGAGATCTGAAGCTGAACCAGTGAAAATCTTCAGCAGAAGTAAAATGGCCATGGATTTTAATACACACTGAAATTCTGACTTTCTGATTTTAAATTGCAGAATAAATTTTGCCAACCTGGAATGGTGTTTGGTACTTTCAGTAGGTAGAATGAGACTCAAAATTCTGTTTGTTTTGCCAAAAGCTAGGCATTTAAAATGAACCACTCTGTTAATAATCCTACTGTTACATCACTATTTTGCCCCAGAGGCAGTATATACAGTACAATAATTTCTTCATTTCAATTATATTTTGAAAGCCCAACAATATCAGTCATGTCTGGGTTAAGGTATCCTTTTGGCTATCCTATCCAAAAATTAGTTATTCACTAGTTTAGAGAGCCTACGTTTTAGGCTGGTAAAAAACATATCATACACCTAACTGTAAAACTATTCTTCACAATTAGGTAAGATAAGGTGAAAGAAAAACAGATGCTTAAAGGACAGAATTACTGAGCACTGGGTAGAGTTAGGATGTGATTTATGGGGACAAAGAGAAACTGAACACATTCTGTCAAAATAAGTGTGGTTCCAGAAGCTCTCACTGTGGGCTATAGTAGTCAGTAGGGAAAGAGACAACCAGGCTTTTGCATTCCCAAATCACGGGGAATAAAAGGAAATGTTCTGAATTATAAGTGGTTTTAAAAGCTTAGTTCCCATCCTTTGCAATTTATGTTGAAAAGAACTGCTAACTACAAAGTAAAAGGAGGACTTTGTGGACAAACTAAGAGCCTGATATTCAGGATAAATTCTAGAAACAATCAAGGTAGAAGTACTCAAAGTTTAGTCTCATAATAGTTGACTTAAAGACCAAGAATCACAGTTAAAAAAACTCTGGATATGTTCCATCATTATGAATCAGCTTTTCTAAAAGTTTCAGCTTTATTATCCCTGATAAATATGCTCACTGTACTTCTATTCTTAAATGGTAGCAACTGTGAAAAATTAAAACAGATTATTCTGTCTTGAAAGTTCTGTGCCACATTGACCTTAACCTTGTTGTCTACAATAGTAATAATTGGTAGATTCTTATTCATAGTCTCTATACTATAAGTATATAGTATTTTTTAAATTGTTGTAGGTCATGAAGAAACTAGACCCCCTCCCCAGGAAAAAATGCACATAAACATAAAATTCTGCATAGAATTTAAGGAGACACTGTATTAAAAAAAAAAATAACTACTAAGAGAAATCTGGAAAACAAACTAAAATTAAAATCTTACCAAAAATAAGATACTACTCTAAGCCACAAGTCCTGCCTCATCTCACACTTTTTAAAAAAAATCTCAGGATATTCACAAACCCCCACCAAAAGCGACTTTCTTTAAAAACAACACTTTGGCAACTTTCAGACTCAAAATCATTAATGTTGCCAGGAGGATGAGCTTGGGTAAAAAGGTAAAAATCTGTAAGTTATTGAAGTATCTGTCTTATAAAAGAAGCCCTTCTCACAGTCAGAAAAGCTTTTGGAGACCACTGTCAGGGTGATCATGAGAATCTTTAATATTCTCTGTGACACTCTGCAGTTGCCAGTGTCAGTTTGACTTGCAAATGATGCCCATCCTCTGCATCTATAAACCCTGGCCAAATATGATACAACCTGAAAAACTGGGAAAAGGAGTATTATTAACAATTGGATTTCCTTTGCACTCTGGATTCAGGTTGTTCATATTTGGTGTGTGTGTGGATGTTTGTGTTATATCCAGTTTGTAGCTATAGAGAAGTTTTAAAGTCCTAAAGCGGCCTTCTGTCAAGGTTAAATTAGAAACTGTGCCTGTCTTTCAGTTGTTTCTTTGTTTAAATAAAATGTTATCAGTTCCCAGACTTCCTGGCACCATGTCCTTCACTTGCTTTAGTAAGGCTTCTTAGCAACCAACAGTAGAGCACCCCAACTAAAAGGTCCCTGAATGTATGTGTGTTTTAAAAAGCATTCATTTTTCTTTATAAGAAAGAGAACCTAAAACTTGCCATTTTGGTACATCTTCAATACAAACCAGGTAATATAGCTTTGGTTTTGTTAGATAATTTCTCTTTAAGAAGATATTTAATTGATTATTTCAGGTGTGACTGTCAGGATCAGAGTTTGACTTCCCCGACGAACCATCATGGAAAGGGAATCACTGTCCTTAACAGCTTGAGTAACATCAGTTGTGGTGGTAACAGGTTGCCCATTTATGCTGACAATTACATCGTGGTCTCTCAACCCAGAGCTGGGGGGGGGGGGGGGGGTGGAGAAAAGAACCATGAAACTGTAAGTTTTGCTTGTCCCCATCCAGAATTTAATGTCATCTCTTGGCATTATTTTGCTGTCATTAAACATACAACCAGGAAACCAGAAATAGCCTCAATCCTTCCAAATATGAGGACTATCCTAAGATAGTCCTGGGGACTATCACCTGGGGACAACAGTCTTACTTACCTTTATAAAGTCAATACTCTAACAATCATGTAAAAAGTTTGCTCCTCCCGTATATTGGATTTGGCTTGGAATAGGGAATTTAGCTTTTGGTTTTTATCATTCTCTGACCTCTGTAAACTTCAAGCAAAGATGAAGCAATATATTTCCAAGCAATATACATTTTTCCCCAGACAGTTGTACTCTATCAGTTTGGTTTTGACAGCCCACTTGTCCCATCTTCACCCATGGTTGTGGAAGTAGACTGTGCTGAGCTGCATGGTGGCTCTGCTTTCAGTTAGTCAAAAACCAGTCACCCCTCCAAGTCTAAATATTTAAGGTTCTGGTTGTAGGCTCCTTTTCCCCAAAGCTGTGATTACATTCTGTCTCCAACACGTTTGCTTCACATAGAGTACATAGTCTAGAAACAAAAAGCACCTCCAAACACAAAACACTGCAATAATATATGGCCATGCTGATGATTCCTCTTAAAGTCAGTAATAGGCTGGACGAGGCTTATCAAATGAAATGACTCCAGGAGACACCATTTTAAAGAAATGGAAGGGGTGCCTGGGTGGCTCAGTCAGACCGACTTCGGCTCAGGCCATCATCTCATGGTTGGTGAGTTTGAGCCCCACATCGGGCTCTGTGCTGACAGCTCAGAGCCTGCTTTGGATTCTGTGTCTCCCTCTCTCTCTGCCCCTCCCCCACTCATGCTGTCTCTCTCTGTCCCAGAAATAAATAAACATTAAAAAAATGTTTTTGATAAAAATTAAAAAATAAAAAAGATATGGGAAGTCAAAGGAAGGATGTGGGAGGATTACCAAGAATGTGGAATTTTTTTTAATAGAAATTTTTTTTTTCAACATTTATTTATTTTTGGGACAGAGAGAGACAGAGCATGAACGGGGGAGGGGCAGAGAGACAGGGAGACACAGAATCGGAAACAGGCTCCAGGCTCTGAGCCATCAGCCCAGAGCCCGATGCGGGGCTCGAACTCCCGGACCGCGAGATCGTGACCTAGCTGAAGTCAGACGCTTAACCGACTGCGCCACCCAGGCGCCCCTTAATAGAAATTTAAAGCAAGAGGCTATGAAAAGAAGTTTGAGGGCAAAGCTAAAAGTATGGAAAACCTTTAGAACAAGGACACCTCAGGAGGATGACTGGGGCAGTGTACAAAAAAGAAACTTAATTCGTTATAGTTCTGTGAATAGAAAAAAAAGATAAACCTGCCAGTTGTTAGTGTAAACTACACACTAAAATGAGGGAGTGAGGCTTAGCCAGGATAAATGATCTTTCCCATGTCCCACAGCTTGGAAGAAACTAAAGGATTTGATCCTGGGTCTTTCAGACTTGAAAACCCACCTGGCTACTCACTCTGCCTCTCAGAAACAAGAGAAGGAGCTACAAAACGGGATAATCCAGGGGTTAAGCCAGATTCCACATCCCTGCTCTCTGGATAATTATATACCTCTCAAGTAATTACCTCTCTGTACCACAGCTGCCGTTTCTATAAATTAATGCCTATATCATAAGACTATTGGGGGCTCAAAAAAGTATGTAGAACACTTAAAATGATGCCTGACATAGTGGTTATAAGTGCCAGCTGTTATTACTGTAATAATTGTGATTATTATTAGATATAAGTGGGGGAAGCCAGAAATAATAGATTTCTGGTTTATCGGTGACTTCAAGCAAGTCCCATATTTTAATGTTCATCCAAATCACCTGCAGCTCTTGTTTAAAATGCAGATTCTGGGACACCTGAGTGGCTTCATTTGGTTAAGCATCTGACTCTTGATTTTGGCTCAGGTCATGATCTCACGGTTGGTGAGATCAAGCCAGGAGCTGGGCTGCATGCTAACAGCATGAAGCCTGCTTGGGATTCTCTCTGTCTCTCTCTCTCTCTCTCAGAATAAACATTTTTAAAAATAAAAATAAAATGCAGATTCTGATTCAGTGGTAGAGCCTGTCGTTCTGCATTTCTAAAAAGCTCCAGGTGATGCCAATGCTGCTGGTCTACAGACCACATTTTGAGTAGCAAGGACTTGGAGAGCTGAAAGAAATAGCTTTGGCCTTGAGCCAAAAGTTAAAAATAAAGGGGTGGGGGGAGGGCAGGAAGCAAGAAAGTTTAGAAAAGCCTATGACAAGCCAAATTTAGTAACATGAGACCTACTACTTAGCTATTCTGAACAGTTAGTACCCTGTGGTTTCTTTCCCCTAGTAAAGGAGTTGCCATAGTCTAAAAAGGTGACTGAGCTCTTGAAAACCAAAAATAGTGAGAAAGGGATATTGAAGAAGTATAAGAGAGAGACTCAGGAAAATAACTGTAGGACAAACCACCTCTTCCCTCAGTAGTTAGTATAAATGTTTAAAGACAAGAGTAAAATCAGCTGAGCACTTCTTTGATAAGCTATTCTAGCCTTTGCTTTATTTACATTCATTCATTCAGTGCTGGCCTCTGATACGGTCTTCCAGAGTTCAAAGAAAAAAGTGTCTGAAAGTACCTAAAATATATTATTAAACCATTAGTCCTCTGAATTCTTCCTGTTCTTAATAACTAAGGTATCGAAAGAGTAGATTTGAGAATTCCTAGCAAAATTAATTTAAGCTTATGCTATTAACTCATCATGAATTCTTGGGCTACAAAGAACCATCCCCTTCCCAAAAGAAGTCCTTCCAAACACAAGTATTCAAAAGTCTAAATAAATCCACACTGTCCAATAGAAACGTAAGGCAAGACACATACATAATTTTAAATTTTCTGGTAGGCATATTTTTTTTTTTAACTTTTTTAATTTTTAGAAATATCTTTAAAAGTAGATGAAACTAATGTTAATAATATACCTATTTGGGGGCACCTAGGTGGCTCAATCAGTTAAGCGTCCACCTCTTGATTTCAGCTCAGGCCATGATCTCACTTGTCATGAGATCGAACTCCACGTCAGGCTCCGCGCTATCGGCGCAGAACCTGCTTGGGATTCTCTCTCTCTCTTCCTCTCTGCCCCTCCCTTGCACGTGCTTCTGTGTGCATGTTCTCTCTCTCAAAGTCAATAAACATTTAAAAAATATACCTATTTTAGCTCAATATACGTATTATCATTTTAACATGTAATTTTTTTAATTAAGTTATTTTCCACTGTTTCATATAAGTCTTTGAAATCCACCAGAAACAACACACACCTGTTATGCTACTATACAACATCTTACACAATGCAGTGATTAAGGTATGAAAGGCAGTCCTTCCAAAACAAAATGTATGTTTAATGGAAAAATATTTTACATCCATTGCCTCTTTTTTTATTTAAATAAAATTAAAGAACATTCAGTTCCTCAGTCACACCAGCCACATCTGGGTATTTAACAGTCATGTGCGGGGAGGGCCACTGTACTGAACAGTGCACGTCTCAATCCAACACACATTTTACTACGGCACATAGCTGCGCTCTTACCTTTCAGCAGCTGTTCCTTGAATCACCTCATACACAAAAACTCCAGAACTCACATCAGGGAAATCTGGATCTTGCCTTTTCATCTCATGAAGAAGGCTAAGAAAAGTGAGAAGAGTTTTCCCGGAAGGTTAAGAAACACAATGACTTAATAATCTTCAGAGCCCTGGCCAAAATCTCCAACTCAGTAGGTACTCTTATCTGTTCTACTCAAGGCTCCAAGTGGCCAGGGAGAATTCCATCAAGCCGGTCACAGTTATTCTTCCCCGGGGGTGGTCTGGTTCTCTGCCGAAGCCTGGGACCATGGGACATTATAAGGTAGAGCCACAGAGAAAGAAGCTACTGAAACGTTCAGCAAATATTGGTGCCAGCAAAGGCACCTACTCTGTGACAACGAGGCTCTGCAGTCACAAGAGTAGCTAGTTGTGGTCCAAATGCTTTAGATCGCCTGTTAAGACTGTCCAGCTGTGTGGGGCGCCTGGGTGGCACAGTCGGTTAAGCGTCCGACTTCAGCCAGGTCACGATCTCACGGTCCATGAGTTCGAGCCCCGCGTCGGGCTCTGGGCTGATGGCTCGGAGCCTGGAGCCTGTTTCCGATTCTGTGTCTCCCTCTCTCTCTGCCCCTCCCCCGTTCATGCTCTATCTCTCTCTGTCCCAAAAATAAATAAAAACGTTGAAAAAAAAAATTAAAAAAAAAAGACTGTCCAGCTGTGACTTTTGCTTCTGAAAAACAACCCAGACACATTCAAACCCACGCTTACTTCATAGTGAGAGGCAGCATCCGCAGACCGAGATACTTCTTCTGTGAAAGAGCTTTTCCTGGAAAGGAAAATTAGGAAAATTAACAACAAGAATTCCTTCCTTTGGGCAGAGCATAAAAGACACCAAGTCATGGATTATCCTTACTATTATTATAACTGCCTTTTCAGGGGTGTCTGGGTGGCTCAGCCGGTTAAGTATCCAACTCTTGGTTTCGGCTCAGGTCATGATCTCATGGTTCATGGATTCAAGTCCTGGGTCAGGCTCTGCATTGACAGTGCAGGGCCTGGGGTGCTCTCTCTCTCCCTCTATCTCTGCCCCTCCCCTGCTCATGCTGTCTCTGTCTCTCCCAAAATAAGTAAATAAATTTAATAATAACTGTCTTTTTGGGGTGTCAGCAATGAAAATGCTTCAGAGAATCTTTGTCACTAGCATGAACACTCCTCCCATCCACTCCCATTTCTAGCCCATGGGTTTCCTTTCCACCACAATTCACATATTTCTGGGGACGATACATGCCTGGCTTTGTGCCTTGTCTCCCAATATTGCCACTCAAGCTAACGTGATAAGAGCTGGGTATTAGTGACTCAGTATTCTACAGAATTCCTAATGGCAGTCTCTACGATAGATTGAGTGCTCCTGAAAAACAGAAGAAAGGAAGAAAAAGTCCTAACTCCCCTCACCTTTCAACTGGCGCTCATGGAATTCTGCCAAGAACTGTCGAATTCGATCTGAGGGAATTGCGAAGGAGATTCCCGCGGTCACCTTGAGTGTATTTATGCCAATCACATCACCATCCTGGCAAGGGAGGAGCCATCATTAGGTCTCCAAGTCATGCAAACTGATAGGTGCAAAACTAAAACCAGCAGAGGAGAGAGTAAAGCCAGTCACTGAGGGTCAGAACACAGAGGGGCTAGAGGAAAGCGGACTTCAACAGAGAGCAGCAGATGTTACCTTACGGGACACACAGCATTGTAGGAAAACCAGGGGATGGGGGATACCTACCCATGTGCAAATCCCTACTGAGGACATTTTTTAAAATCTTGAGCTCATTTTTTTCCTTCGCCAAACTGATTTTAAAAGTGAACCACAGTTTGTATTTTGACAGGGATAAGAGGACAGGGAGTATTTGCCTTTTCTGCTTAAATGAAACTAAAAAAAAACATGGAAAAGGCAACACTTCAGTGAAACTATTCAGGATTAGCTAATTGACCTTAGAGAACAAAGCTCTACAAGGCCGAAGCTGAGAAGTGGGAAACACTTTCCTCTTGGTGCACTTCATCATCCTTTAGCCTTTGTTGAGTAATGGCAAGGGTAGAAAAGAGACTTCTGATCATACTAAAATACGTATTATAGGGGCTCCTGGGTGGCTCAGTTGGTTAAGATCCAACTTCGGCTCAGGTCATGATCTCACAGCTTGTGGGTTCAAGCCCCATGTCAGGTTCTGTGCTAACAGATCAGAGCCTGGAGCCTGCTTCGGATTCTGCGTCTTCTCTCTCTGCCCCTCCCCTGCTTGCTGTGCTCGCGCTCTCTCTCTCTCTCTCTCTCTCTCTCAAAAATAAATAAACATTTTAAAAAGTACATATTATAATTCAGTAGGTCTGGAATGTGGCCTGAAAATGTGCATGTCACCCTCCTCTAGTAGACTCATTGTCTACAGGAAAAAGCAGGTGCAAAAAATTACATGCATTGCTAAGCAAAAAGGGGCTCAGTAATTTCACATACAATTCATCCTCCAAAAAGTAAGTGTAATGTGTAAAGAACCAAAAACAATCAGCTCAAAGGGACTCAGAAAGCATGATCACAGACTGTCTCAAACAGCACTACACTCTCATGCTTTCCGCACATAATTGAGCAACAAGAAACTCCCATTTCCACTAGAGATGCTGAATGAAACTAAAGAAACATGACAGAACAACGGATTCTTACTGTGGCTTTTCTGTCATCTCTACCAAGACTAAATTTAACCCTGAACAGACTACATCATGTAGTTAGCATCTTGGGATCAGGAACAGTTCTTCATACGCAGCAGCAGAGGGGTTTCAAGGATAAACCCTACATAGTACTGTTGGTCATTTAACATCTATTTTAGTTTAGTGCCCAGGACTTGTGTTGACTACGCGATGAAGACAGAAAGCATGCTCAAGAGATGTCAGTAAGCATAAGTAAACCCTAGCACTCTCAGTTTGATGAAATCACATGCCAGGAGGATAAATCCACTGTAGATTTAAATTTCTGCTAACTGGTTACTTAAACGATGCAATAACAGAAAAGCATCTTACTACAAATCTCTACACAAGGGTGACATCCTAGTCTGCATCATGGAATTTGTAAAGTCTTTGAAAGTGAGGAAGAGACGTGAAGCAGCAAGGAAAGTGGTCACTTACCAAGTTCACCAGAGGTCCCCCAGAATTCCCATGCTGAAGACAGAAATTTGGAAAAGTCAGTACTTTTCTCCTTGTCATTTATACATGGTTCCTAAAGAGGTTTACCAAAAACAGCCTACGCCGGTGAGTGCCTGTTCCTCCTAGATAGGCAAAGCCGTGCCCCCGTCATCACCAACGCTGAAGTCAGTGCCAATGAAGGACAACAGCAAAAGGACCACCACCTTCTACAGCAGAGGGTGACCCCTATGACAGACCTAAGAGGCTACCATGGATGCCAATTATCACATCAAACAGGCTGAACTCTAACAACATGGCATGCCATCCCTCTCGTGAGGATCTAACTATACTCTGGACATCCTCAACAGGCCAATGGGAAAAGAGGGCATTCTTACATGTCCTTCTCACTGACCTGTCAGTACCTAACGGATTGAGGATGGCCCTCCCAAGTGCTTACGTTAATTATGGCATCAGTCTGGATATAGTCCATGTTCGAATCCTTCAGCCCCAGCTCTTTGCCCCCTCTCTGTGTAGTGCTGACAATTCCTGCAGTCACCGTGTTCTGCAGAGAAAACGGGCTGCCCAAGGCCACCACGAACTCTCCAGCCCACAGGTCAGATGACCTTCCCAGCAGCAATACAGGAAGGTCAGTCTGCACAAGACCAGAAGGGATGGGAAGGACAGAGAGGTGAAAAACAAATCAAGAACAGAATCAACCAGTATTTGTGTTCAACACACATATGACACCGTCTCTATCATTTGGGCAGTTAAAATCCAAGAATCACCTACCCACCCACATACATTCTACAAGTGCCTGATGCTTCTTCCTCAAATTCCAGCAACCACCAAACTCTCTCACTTGATAAGATGATCAGTATCATCTCTAAAATCTAAAACTATTGCTTTGTAGAAATTACTATAACTAAACCACCAGTGAAGTAGCTGATGAACATAAACTGACATTAGCAACTTAGCTCGATTCCAGCTCAAAGGTTCCTAGTCAAGGTTAAGCCACAAACAGAAAGGAGATCACCCAGAGCAGTGCTTCTCAAATTTTAACGTGCACACAAATCACTTGGGGATCTTATTAAAATGCAGATTCTGGGGCGCCTGGGTGGCTCAGTCAGTTAAGCGGCCGACTTTGGCTCAGGTCATGATCTCACGGTCCGTGAGTTTGAGCCCCGCGTCAGGCTCTGTGCTGACAGCTCAGAGCCTGGAGCCTGTTTCGGATTCTGTGTCTCCCTCTCTCTGACCCTCCCCCATTCATGCTCTGTCTCTCTCTGTCTCAAAAATAAATAAACGTTAAAAAAAAAAAATAAATTTAAAATGCAGATTCTGATTCTGTAGCCCGGGGTGGGATCTGAGATTCTGCATTTCTAAAACATTCTCAGATAATGTCAATGCTGCTGAAGTGCAGATTACACTTTGTGTAGCAAGCACCTCAAAGTATTCCTCAGCAGCTTTGAATCCATTGCAATCATTCCTAGTATTCTAAGGCAAGCAGAAACAAAGCTTCCCAGAAGCAGCATCTGTTGAAAAAAGAGGTAAAGGAGGCTGGATAGTTAATAGAAATTGTTAGGGATATACAGACGGGCAGAGAGGAAAATAAACAAAAGAGGAGTGAAAAACAGGAAAAAAACCAGAAAAGAGCATATACCAGGTAGAAAAGATGTGTGGGAGTGGGGTGGGAAAGAAAGTATCAGCAAATTGATGAAAATCCCCAGCTGTACAGACTGATTTGGCCCTTGCATACTCACGTTTGGCTCAATCTTAATCAGAGCAAGATCCAATTTATGGTCAATGTCTTTGACAGTGGCTTCATACTGGACCCCACTCTGGAGCTCCACCTGGATCCGCTGCTGGTTGGTGAGGACGTGGGCATTGGTAACAATGAGCCCATCCTCAGACACTATGAACCCAGAGCCACTGGATGCAGGAATATCCTTGCTGCTAAGAGGTGACCTGTCTCAGCAAGACAACGGCATAAGCAGAGGGCAGGAAAATTAGGGGATCTATCACAGTCTGGGGACATGGGAACCTCTCATTTATCAAGCATACTGCCACCACGGTTTTCTCAGACATTTTACTTTCTCCTGTCTGTTTTCATGCTCTCCATATGTAATTGGACTCTGCATGTTCAATGCCTTGGCCATCTCTTAGGATCACGAATGAGAGCTGATTCCAGCTCCCCTTTTCCAGGGACCACCTCTGACCCCCACCTTCAGCGATGGTCAGAGCAGCAACCCTCTGCTTCAGAGACCTAATCTAATCATGCTACTGGGGCCAAACGTGGATCCCACGTTACTGAGTGCCAGCCACATTACTGAGGACCCAGGCAGGGAGAGAGTGTAAGAGAAGGCTGGTTCCAGCTTGGATCCACTACTAACTGGTCTTGTCACACATGATTCCTTTCCATGCAAACGAGCAGCCTGAGCAAAATCACCATCAGGATGCCTTCTAGCTCTTACATCTGACTCTCAGATTTTGTCTGTGGGAGATGAGAGAGGGAGAAACCCCAGGCAACTAAGTGCAGAGGAGTGGCCCAGATTTGGAAGTCAGGAACCCTACGCTTCCGCTCTTTGGCTAAACCACCCTGAACAGATTACTCAACCTGTTTTGAGCTGCGATTTCCTCACAGCAGGTTTTATGACTAAACGATGCTTGTAAAGCGGTAGCGCAGGGACTTAAGTGGGCAGGCGCTCATGAACAGACCGCTGGGCAGCAGGCGGCCGCCTCTTGCCTCCTTTACCTGCGGAACAGCTGCAAGTGAACCACGGATGGCGCCACCTTCTCCACCACGGCGGCGATGAAGTTGTACTTGCTCCTGAGCCGGCCTACACTCCTGGTCCCTGAGAAGAAATGCTCCATGCTTGGGGGCGGTGGGCGTCCCGCTGCCTGACCGCATCTGGTGTCCTATCCCCAAACCCCCGGTCTCTCTCCTCCTCCAGTTCCCTTTCCCTCCCCTTCCTCTCTTCGGGCTCCCCTTTATGTTCACGGCCATCCCGTAAGGATACGCCTTGAGGAAAACAGCTGTCATCCCATCCCGGGTGAGGGAAAAAAAGGGGGAAAGGGGGACACGGTGTTTAACAGGCCTGGGGAGGCAAGTGGGGAGAAACCACATGGAAACTGGTAAGGAGACACCTAAGAAGGAAAGAAAATTGGGAACAAGGAGTTGAATCCGCAGGCAAAGGCGCAGGGACGAGCCTGCGGCTAACCCCGAGTGCGGCGCGCCGCTTAGAGGAGTCGCGAGCGCCCGAGCGCGCGCGGGCCGGCTCTCACCTTGGTCGGCGCAGTCGCCCTTCAGCACGGGCACGGCCGGGAGCGTGCCCCGGAGGCGCGCGGCGCGGTTCTCGGCGCGCAGCGCGCACAGGTTGGGGTAGGTGCGCCCATCGCTGCCGCACACGGCCGCTCCCGCCGCGGGGCAGCCGCAAGTGCCCATCCAGGCGCCGCGGAAGCGCTGGGCGCTGAGCGGCGCGCGGCACTGCAGCCCCGGGGCGCACCGCCGGCCCAGCGTCCCGCCGCAGGCCTCTCCCTCGGCCGCCGCGCAGACGCGGCAGCAGCGGCAGCGGTCGAGCACCGGCGTCGCCCCAGCGGAGCAGGTGGGCAGCGGGGGGCAGCGCGTAGGCTCGCAGGCCGCCGGACAGGGCAGCGAGGACCTGGACTTCCTAGCCTCGACCCTGGGCACAGGCAGCGGGGGCAGCAGCAGCCACAGCAGAAGTTGTCCGAGCGCGGTGGGCCGCAGCAGAGATCTAGTCATTCTGCCCCCTTCCTTCTTCGCTCTGTTCCAGTTACTTTGGTCTCGCAACTGCTCTAACGTGAGCAACACTTTCTCCCGGCTTGGGTGCCGCCTCCGCCAACCCCCAGACTTTATGGGGCAGAACCTGGCAGATCCCACACGTATCACCCACACCGTCCCTGCCCCGGGGCCAGGTCTACCCCCACGCCACCAAGAGAGGTCGCCAGCCCTGCCCTGTGCAGGCACTTACCTCGGGAAGTCCAAAAAACCAGTAATAGGGCACACTGACTAGAGAGATCACCCACCCACGGACAGAAGGTCAGCGTTAGGAAAACATACACCATATTTCAGTATTTCACATGGTTTTATTACAAAACAAGCAACAAAACAGTTTTAGAAAATTATTTTTGCTACATACCAATTAGTAGATCACATAAAATGAGAAGCATAACAGTTTCCATGCACTCAGCTCAGTGCTTGCAGTGAGTGCATTTCACAGCTGAAACGTACTGGTTCAAAACACAAAATCATGCCACACCATAAGCAGTGGGGGAAGGGGTCAAACAGTATATTTTTGCCAATATTAGCTTTACTCAAATTCTACTTAGCATGAGTGACTGTAACTGACTGCTGCAGGCAATAACATGGAGGAAAAAAAGGATGAGGGGAAAAAAAAGTGATGTTGGTAGAAAAGATTTAATAAACTGCCCATTTTTGATATGTTCAAAGTTTATAAACAAAGCTCATTTGGGAAACTCAATTTCCAAAATGGTGTTACTTCCATGTGCCTGTTTATCTGGTCAACAGTGAAAACTAACATCAAATCCCACCGCTCAGCTACTCAATCTGCTATTTATTTATTGGTTGCTTTTACTTGTATCAGAGCACAGTTATATTTAAGAAGAAAAAGAAAAAACCTTTTGTGTCAAGTAAACTACAAAGCTGGGCCTTACCTCTGCTCTTTTTCATGTGACCTCAGCATTCTGCTGAAAAATAAACGTATAACCTCCAATATTTTGACCTGAGTCCACTCTTCACCTTACTAGGGTTACAATGTCTCACAGGATGCAAAAGGCCAAACTACATTTACCAACCACCACAGAAATTCTTAAGCTTTCATTCTTAAGCTTAAGTTCTTAAGCTTTCAAGATAGTGAATGGTAAATAGTTCAATTATAGGGAAGACCACTTGGGGCACCTGAGTGGCTCAGTGGGTTGAGCGTCCAACTTTGGCTCGGGTCATGATTTTGTGGTTAGTGGGTTCAAGTCCCATGTCAGGCTCTGTGCTGACAGCTCAGAGCCTGGTGCCTGCTTCGGGTTCTGTGTCTCCCTCTGTCTCTCTCAAAAATAAACAAACATTAAAAAAATTTAAAGCCAAATGCTTTGATTGGATAGGCACCATCTTTGGCTCACATGTGAAGTGACATTAAAAATTGTGATGTGAAATTGGTCAGAAGGTGAGAAATATGGACACAAAAGGAATTCTGAAATAAGGTTTGGGAATTAGAATGCTTTTAAGTGCCATTGAAGATAATTCTATTTATCTGGTGTTGGAACCACATTAACAATGTTCTCACTTGGTATTCCCAAGTATTTGCCATCTACAGTCCTTGTTTCCATCATAATAATACAGTCTAGATTTATAAGCATATTGAACTCACATTCTTAAAATAGACCCTACTGAATGAGAAATATATCAGCTTACTAAAATGGCCAATTAATTTAGCAGTAGTATTCTAGCAGAGAGTTTACTTAACAAAAGAGAAATGGATACATTTTTGCCAGAGGATGACAGCTTTCATGAGTTGGGGAATGTTTAAAGAGATCTCAAAAGTTCCTAATTTATTTTTGCTAGTGCAATATCATTTATTGTGTACCTTCTTTGACCTAGCCAAAGAATTTTCTTAAGGAAAATTTGAAGATGAAACCAGAGATGAGGAGCTTTAAGAATTTGAAATGGCTACTTGAAGCTGTAATCTCACTCACCCATGAATAACTAACTCCCAAAGCACAGATTTCTGAGGACAAAAGTCTACAAGAGTCTGCAAAAAAGAGTGGGGGGAGAGAAAAAGAGAGAGATCCAGTAGATGTCTTTTTTTATAACGGGACCACTAGGCCAAACGATGCAAGGGAACTACACTGCATTAAAGGAACAAAGATTTCCCTCAAGCCCTTAGGGGTTTCTGATGACATGTTTTTACCTCTGCATTACATCTGGACATAAGGAGGGGAAGATATTCACTTCGGTAAAAATGCTTCTCTCAGTATCTTCCTCTAGTCTTTAATTTTTAATTTAAAGGTAACTAATTGATCTAGCTGATGAAAGGTATAGACAGAAATGAGTTAGTTTTTCTCTCCCTTTAGGGAACCCTGGTAAGTTAGCAGTAGGCCACATTAAGTTAGACAAATTCTCCCAGGGACCTGGAAATAGTATCTTTTGTCAAGTTGAAAGAAGGTAGAAATTTGGGTGGAAAAGGCAATCTATGCTCTTCTACCTGGGAAATCTCTAGTCAGCAATGCAGAGCTTCTAAATCAATGTTTCTATGCATAGTTTCTATTTTATTAAAAATATAAATACCTCTCAGGATTATCCTTGTATCTCTTCACTGTTAAGTACATGGAACCTTATCATATTACAAGGTGTGATCATGCAAGTACACAAGGCTTCATTCAAAGGGCAACAGAAAAAGAAAGAAAGCAAATCTGCCGGGGTATATAATATACAGCACTTAAAATTAGACTAATATCAGCCCATTGAAGAGAGCTGTGAAGTAAGGATTCAAGAAATCCATCTGTGCTAAAACAGACCTTTTCTTCTGTCTGGAAAACACGGATCAGAAAAGTTTATCTGGATGAACTATAATCCATGTTTTCCCAGCACCTGCTTCAAAACAATTCTAACACTCTAAAACAGAGATCCGATCTATCACACAAGTGAATTATCATACACTTATCAACCCTCGAAACTTCCAAATAACACCACTTCAGTGGAAATGTCTGCCCTATTCTCAACAGTCCTAACTTTTAAGACTGATAAACCCATCCTCGGGGCCTGACACAGAAACTGGATGGGCAGGTCTATCACTCACACTGATATTATTTGGGGTCGTAGACAAGAACAGAATAATTCCCCAAACTGGCTGATGCACTGAGGTTGAATCTTTCCCCATACCTTACAAGAGATCCCTATTTCTTCCCCAGTAGAAGATTCTCCCCTGGGAGGATCCACCTTAGTGGACATTCTGAGAGCTACCTGCCAGCCCCCAGATCGTAACACCTCCCCTCAGAATGTATCCCAGCCAAGCCAGAGCCTAGGTCTGCTGCTTTCAGCTGGGTCTGTTACCTACTCCTACTTCACTGTTAGACCTCAGCCAATAAACAGGAATAGGATAACCCAGATGACTGCCCAAGACTCTGTGCCCAGCCTGGAAACCAAAGGAAGAAACTATAACTAGGACACGGAAATAAAACTTGGTTGGGATGAAACTGCACTACTAAACCTCCTCTCACCAGGAAGACCTCGGAGTGGTCAAATGAGAGGCAACCTGCTCTCCACTGAGCATGCCTACAGGTCTAACCTCGTGATTTTCCAAGTCAAATACGCTGTATTATATTTAAAAAAAAAAAAAAAAAAAAAAAAAAACAACCGAATGGGCCCTCCCCATAGAGCATCCACAGGAATATGAGTGCCAAAGGGTCTCTGACCACCTTCCAAAAGGTAGGGAAACTGAGTCATGGCCTCCTTTTCTTGAGTCCTCCCCCCTCCCAGGGTACCGTGCCCTATCACACATCAGAAGTTCGTATGCTCTCATCATCAAGGCTGAACAGAAATGGCTTCTCCTTGGGGTGCTGGGGCTCTGATCTGTGCCTTATCCGGGAGCTGGGCAACACCCCAGAAGTACTGCTCTCCCCAGGTCGAGGCATGAACAAGGAGTCCCCAGGAGTCTCTTCAGCTGGAAGCAGCTTGTCCCCGGCCTGGGGGACAGGTGTCCAGGGTTGCCAGGAGGAAGCCACAGAGGGGGCTTTGCAGAGGGCTTTTTTCTCTTCCACAGCTGGCCGCCCCCTGCACAAGGCAGAGTTGGGCCCACCTGACAGGCTGGAGCTTCCAGAGCGAGTCAAAGAGATGGATCTAGAAAAGGACATATCCTACAAAAATAAAAGGGAAGAAAAAAACAAAAGAAAATAAGGGCTTTCCTGACAATGTCTACTCCAAAGCCCCAGGAAGAACAGCCACTTAGGATCACCACCTCATAGGTCCAGAGACCCCTGTCTATGGAAATCAAGTACAACCAACGGAATTCACTCCAGATGTGTCATGTTCTGCCTGGCAGGGAGACGTGTAGAACACATCAGAGTCTCTGTTTCTTTACCCAACCCAACTTGCCGCTTTCAAACAACCAAAAAATAAAAATAAAAATGAAACTCTGTACTTAAATCAGTAGAAAGAGAAAACAAACAAGACAGCCTTGGGCTTCAGCTGCATCCAGAACAGGCTGCTTGCCTACATCACCAAATAAAACCTGACCACTCAAGCAGAATTCATCTCCAAGTTGACAGCGGCTGCGTACCAGAAAGGAAATGACTTACTCTGGGGTGGCATTTGAGGGCCTGGACAGCTGCCCTGATCTCCTTAATCCAGCTGTGCATGTCTTCTGGACTGTCCGCCTGCAAAACACCCATAGCACTTATGGAGAAATCTCTGGCACTGTGATTCCAGCTTTCAAGTCTGTGATTCAATTCTAAGTTTATGAAATTACACCATTAGAACTGGAAGGATCCCAGAGATCATCCAGTCCAGTGGCTTTCAGACTTTTGAGGACATTTTTTTCCTGCAAACTCTTATTTGACACCCCATAAATAAAACAGCTCAAAGTGGATCTGCTCTGCAGTGGGGCAGAGGCCGTCCCTGCTGAAGCCCCTCACCCCCACCCCCCACCGCCCGGAGCACAAATGGCCTCCTGCTTTACAGAAAAGGCAAATGGGGCCCAGAAAGCCAAAGTTCAACGTTTATGGCTGGTCTAGATTCCAGTTCTCCTGACTCCCAATGCAGTCCATCTTTCTACTACAGCTATCCAAACAGAATAATCCCATTTTCAACTCTAGTCCCGCTAAAGCCAAATCCTCTGCATATCCTCCAACATTCGTATTATCTCTAGGAACAGGGCTTCCCTCAGAACAC